ATGGTCAGAACTGAAAACATGATATAACAGGAATGTAGAAAGGAAAGGTAGATGTACAAGATGCTAGTGAAGTAAAATCTGTGGAACGTCCATTCTGATTAAATGTGGGTGGTAGAAGGGAGTTTGCTTAAAGAGAAAAATTTGTAGCCCTCTAGGGCTTTTGGTTTAGATGGAGTCCCTGCCTTTCACTGAGAGAGAAATTAGGATGGCTTTAAAGGAAAGAGGTTAAGTTCGATTTGGGGAATGTTATATACAAGGTATTTATGAGATATATGTATATATACATACATTTGTGTGTATACATATAAATACACACACACACACACACACACACAAATGCTTTGTTTTCAGTTGGATAAAAGGAAAGAAGATTTGGGGCTTGTCTGTGTAGCAATAAATGAAGCTTTGAATTTGGATCAGGTTGCCTGAGCACAGGACTAGGTAACTTGTTACACCATATTTTAAAAATTGATGTCGTAAGAAATACATAGTTGCCAGAGACAAGGACACACATGGCCCTTGAGTCATATTCCTGGTCCTTGCAGTCCACCCAACTCTGAGTCTTCTCTTCACAATCTGTCATAGGGATTCCTTGGATATGGAATATAAAGATACCAGTTCTTTACTGTTCCCATACCTCTAAGTGAAACTTTAAACACTTTTTTATTTTAAAAGTGTTTTAAAAATACTAAAAAAGTACTTTAAAAAATACTACCAATCTATCCAAATACACTTGTAATCTTAAGAAAGTCATAGTAATAGCAGTCATTAGTTTTGTTTTTCTAACTTGGAGTTTACTGTAAATCGGTTATCAATTGCTTTTTATTTATTTATCCTTACAAAGCTCATATGCTGACATAACATCCTAAGTTCAGCTTCTTGTAGCAACATACCTGAGAACCCCATCTTGGTATTTAACTTAAAGCCAATGATTTTAATGTATTTATTTGGCAGTTTTGTTGGCAACTTCAGCCTTCAATTATGAGTTATTCCCATTCTGCCTGTTTCCTCTGTTCTACCAGGTTATTGGCCTTGAGAAGCTCCCTGAGTTACATGTTAGGTTCTCCTCCTCATAATGGTGTTGAAGCCTAGCTTCTTGATTTACTGTTCTTTCAAGTTTTTCTGACCTGATTGCCCAGTTTTCTTTTTCTGTCACTGTCAGTTTCATAACTAAACTGCCTATTGCCATCAGGAGGCCAGGACCATGGACCTAGGACTGCAGGAATGGAATGAGAGCTTCTAGCAGTCTAAAGTCTCCTGTAATGGCTGTGGCTCCTGCAGGAGGTCCAAGAGATGTTATTTTAAGAGTTGCAATTGCCCATCATACAAGGGGGACCCCCTAAACCCCAGAATTTATTTATAAAAAGTTGTGTATTGTTACATGTTAAAATTTCAGTGACTTTCAAAGTAATCTCCATTTGATGCAATACACCTATTGAGACTTTTTTCTACAGTTCAAAACAGTTTTTGAATTCGTCAGTTTTGATGCGTTTTAGTGCTCCTTTCCTCTTTTGCTTCACCTCTTCCATGTCGGCAAAACATTTCCCTTTGAGGGCATTTTCATCGGAGAAATTAAAAATAAAGTCGTTCAGGCTGAGATCAGGTGAACAGGGAGGGTGAGGCACAGGGGTCAGGCCATTTTTTTATCAAAAACTGCTGAACACTTGGCACAGTGTGAGCAGATGCGCTTCTAAATCACCCATCATAGAATGAGCAAACGCATTGAAAGAGTCTTCAAAAAAATTGCACCAAAGCTGCATACAGCCTCTTGCAATACCACCAGTTGGTACACTAGTACAGGTGGGTTCCTAAAACACTCACCTAGTGGGGGAAACATGTACTACAAGGAGCTCGTCCTTCAGAAGATAATTCTGTTTTCTTGAGGATCCCACCTTGTATATGGGTCTTTAACATTCAAGGACTGCCAGCCACCTGCAATTTGTAGGCATGCTCAAACATTTTTTAAGACCACAGCTACATGTGAATGGGGAGAAATATGTTGAATTGATTCCTGCAAACATTTGAAAGGAACATAGTTAAAATGTTTATAATAGTCTGGCTAAAGTAATAAAAAGCCTACCTCTTTTACAACTCCCTAGCACAGTGCATGATTTTTTTTTATAAGTAGCTTTTAATTTAGAACTGCAAACACAAACTGCTGACTACCTCTTAATGCTCTTTTAAAATCATTTCAAGGGTGCTGATATCCGAGAGCATCTTTTAGTTTCACAGATAACTGTATGTTGGAAATGCAGTATAACGCCAGTGCAGAAAGTATGTATGAAATGAGGCTGACATTTTGTAGTTATTTACAAACAGTGCCATTTTAGTGATAAGCAATATTTGGTTCTTTATGTTTTTTATGCCACAGGAAAGAAGATAATTCCCAGCTGTTTAATTTAAATTCTAAACCTAAGTAAAAATCCACATGCTAACAGGTAAATGGAATTCCTGTTAGGTTTTTCTGAATTCATATTTCTATCACAAAACAGGTTATGTTTATTCCATTTATTTCTCAGACAATAGCTTAAAAAAATACTATTTCCAAATTCTTATTTTAATTTAGTATAACTATTCTTCCAATTCCTTGGATTATAATCTATGGAAAGTCTCAGCAGAGTACGAGTTTTGTATTGTTTTCTTTTTTTCCCCTTTTGCCCCTGACATTCAGCTCTGATGTTAAGCTGTTCTTTCAGTTACAGTGGAAAAGAGACATGCATGGGCAATTTGCAGTTAACCGCTCGCCTCCATGCACATGAATGTCTCAGCTTCACATCTAATTGTGATTCCTGCCTTATGCCATCCTCTTGTTCTTTCATCCCAGTACCAACAGATGGTGGGACCAGACCCCTGGGGCAGTGTGCCTCATTGTTCTAAGGTTGTACATCTTCTGGTAGCAATGGTCAGAAAAAGAAGGATTTTAATATGGCAAATTGGCTTCAGTTCTTTTTGGCTTCTTAAAAAAAACAATGGAAATTTGGCACCAAGTTTTCAGGTAGTACCTTAAAATCTTCTTTTTTAGTCCATGAAGAAACAAAAAGCAAAGACACATTTATATTTTATAAATGGGCTTGCTGAAAAGACACCTTTATGTCCGCATCGTGTGTACATTACGTTTGTGATAATCTCAATTGTAAGAAACCTAGTAAGTGACAGCATATAAAAGAACAGGTTTCATCTATTTATGCTTAAGTTTTCTGTTCTAAAAAATAATACTAGAGGTTGCCAGGTGATACATATGTTGATTTGTTTCCTTACTAGAATCTGAAGGTGCTGTTCATGCTCTGTGATTAGTGTGATTGGTGACGTTAGACAAGTTTACTTCATCTTTATGGGCCAATAAATAAGGTTCTTTTAAAGTATCTCCAAAATGTCTTTTTTGTCATAGTACATAAAATGTTAGAAGCTGAAGTAGTACTAGCTGTATGAAAATGCACTATGCTATGGTTGGAAAAGGAAATGCATGGATGAAGTTTTATCATTGAAATAATCTTGGTTTTTTGATCTGTAGTACCAGTGTTATGGATATACATATATAAAAACTAACTACAAATTATTTTTTTAAAGATAATAAATACATGGAAGTAAAATCACCCATATACTTTTCTACTGATTCAGCCATTTGACAACTCTAGCTTCTCATGATGTTGAGAGGGTAATGGTTCTATAACCCTGTGTAGTCATTACTGCACAGAACAGTGGTTTTTAACTCTCTGACCAGAATCTATGATTAGAAATACATTTTACATACAGTAGGCATGCACATACAGTTACATATGTATGTGCATGTATATAATTCAAACAACTTCCTCCTCACTCTTGGCAGAATTTTTCCTGTTCTTTTGCTGTTGTTGTAGATGTTAATTTTATTCTCTTTAAGAACTTGCTCATTCTTGTTGACGAAATATGTTTTTGATGGATCAGGACCCACAGTTTGAAAAACACTGCACTAATCTGTACTTACTGTAAAGAAATGCATTTATTTTTTGTAGACTTCCTCAAATTCTATTAAAAATTATTTTCTTATTCTATTGATCACATCAACTGCTATTTACTTAACAAGAAATCTTTAGAGTTCTCTCTTATTTGTAGGTATAGTCAAAGGATGTAAAGGATACAGAGAGTCTACACAGAAAAACCAATTTATATTGAATGTTTTAATGAGCTGTATAACTATTTTTAAACATATGCCCATACCTCTTCATTGTTTAGAATCACATAGTCATTTTGTTTTACTTTCTTGAACTTGTCTTTTAGTTCATCATCATTCCAGGTGTTCCTGTTATCCTTTTATTTAATAGTTCATGCTTTAATAACATACATGAAGTGGCTTGGTTTCATCAAAAGTTTCTTTATATGTATTTTAACTAAGAAAAGAAGTAAGGGACTTTTGAATTTCTTTATCACCAAATCGAGTTCTAAGTACAGTGGCCTTACTGCTGTGTACTATTTCCTTTTTTCATTAGGGGTGATTTGAAGAGTTGTATGAAAAACCTAGTAGTCATATGGAATTATATAGTTTCCTCTGTCACTTCATATAAAATGATGTGAGGTGAAGTTTTTGCTCATTTACTTGCCATTTACTTTTTTAAATTGTGACAGCATATAGGAAACCATAGAATGAATATATAAAATAATACAGTGTTACCGAATTCAGAAGGGAAGCAGAAAAAAGGCGTTCCTACTCTTGAACAGTCAGGATTGGAACTAACATTGAAAAGTAAGTTTAGTATACAAATGGTATATTCAGAAAGGATTCCTTTATAATCTGACAATAGATGGGCAAAAGACTGTACTATGAAGTGTTTTATGCAGATAAAAACTCAAAAGCAGGTTGTGGAACTGAAGTTAATTTTATATAAATACATACATTTGTATACTGAACAAATTTTTATTTGGATGGTGAAAATTCTTGAGGAATGTATTATCTATCATGTATAAAGTTGTCAGTGTTAGTGTTAAAGATTTTCATTGAAGCTCTTTGTATATATCTCTTTCAGATATGGAGACAAGTGAAAAAATCCAAGGAAGCGGAATACTTCAACTGTTTGCAAGTCTGTTGATTCCACAGTCTTCCTGCACAGCCAAAATAGCTAACATCATAGCAGAAGTAGCCAAAAATGGTGAGGTTTTCCTCGAGAACTTTTCTGCTGGGAACATCTTCAGTTTTACACCTTACTTGTCAGTATGTTTTATTAATTTATGTTTTAATTTTGTAGATTAGACATTTTTTATGTTTTTTCTATTCTTTTCTTTGACTTTTTTCATGTAATTGTTAAAAATGACTATAGTTATAGTCATTTTATTTATACATTTTCCCATTTGCTATTCCAGTCTCCCAGAGTAGAAGTAAAAAGAAGCAATACTAGTCCTTGCTGTACCTGTATCATTTACTGTTTTGGTTGTAGGATTCTTGAATTTGCCTTTATTGTCACAGAGAGCATACTTTTTTAGTGTATATATTGGTTTGTGTTTTACCTAGATTTAAACTAGTTAGTTCAACCTATCCTCCTGACATTGGCACTTGATAGCAAAAGAGCAGTTAGAATATATGTTGTTTTCTGCATTTACCTTCATGGGAAACATTTATTTTTTAAATTTCCATGTAAGAATACTCTGGAAAAATAATGACAGTAAAACTTAAATTATATAATAGCCAATACATCCATTTATGTATAGTTTATATCTAATGAGAGCTTCTTTAAAATTTATTGTAGCAGAAATATTCATACATGATTTTAATTCAGTTGGTTTGAGAAAACTCTGATTTCTTAAAGCAGTTTTTATACATAAGGGAAGGCTATACTAAAGTAATACCTTTAGTGAGTCCCAATTTATGTGTTTAATATTATTTTTAGGCCTTTTATTTTAGTAAGTTTCATTTGTTTTACTTTAAAGAGAAGACATGTAAAAATTCCGGCCTTATTTGTATAGTCACTATGGTTGATTGTGTTGTAAAGAACAGGTTGTTTTTGGCCTAGTGAAACAACCTGTTCATAAATGTTTTACCAAAAAGAAAATTACTATGAAATTTTTTTCGTTTGTTTAGAGGTTTTCAAAATATCTTGCAGGTTTCAGTAAGATTTTCTGTATAGATAAATCATTTTGGGGGGTTATTAATTGAAAATTGGCCACCTATTGTTTGTATGTCATGACCAAGCTATTGTATTTGTGTTATCACGATATTGGGCTTCAGATTTGAGCTGGTCATAAATGTTCAGAAATCTTGGAATATTTAATGTACTTAAAGCAGATTTGAATTGCTCTGAATAGAGCAATTGCTCTTGGGACAACAAAGAGCTCCTGAAGCAGATTTAGTTTGAAAATGGAACCCCTTCAAACATGGTTTGTTAACCTAGACGAAAACCACTATCTGAATGTTAGATGCAAAGCAGCTTGATTTTTAAGATAAGGTAGTTTACTTTTAATCTCATTAGAATCACAGTATAGATTTCCAGAACCTTAGGCATGTATGTGTGGGAACCCTTTGAACAAGGATGACAATCACAGCCATTCTGTGGCCTCTCCAATATTATATACACTTATATATAGATAAATAATATATATTTTATGAACGTATTTCTGATAAGCTCCTAGTATTTATTAACATATATCCATCTGCAGCAGGTAAGTTCATGTTTTTAAAACTAGCTAAGGAATAGCTATACTCCTGGCTTAAAAATTAAATTGTGTTAAGAGCAAAAGGTTTTAGAAGGAGTTTCCTTTCTCCAGGGATTGGCAGTATTGGTTTTACATTGACTGAAAGCTGAGGAATATACTAGTTTTGTTTTATCTTTATATCTTTAAAAAAAACCCTGAGTTATAATTGACATAATACATGATATATGTTTCAGGTATTTAAATGCTTTTGAATAAAAAAAAGTTTAGAATAGTTGTATTTGACCCACAGTTTTCCTATAATTACTTACCCTATGTCATTTTAAGAATACCAAATCCTGATTGAAGCATCAAAAATGTGAAAGATAGGTTGGTGTCATATAGACAATTAGAACATCAAAGCAAAGAAAAATAGTAATTCATCAATGCTGCCATTGCCTGAAGAATAGCAACAACAGAGCAAACAAGCCAAATAATAAGATATAACAACAGATTCCATTTATGAAATGAATGCAAATCAGACTATTCCTAAATTTCTTATTTTAGTAGTCATTTAAATGATGTCCCTGTTGGAAACTAGGCATGGCAAGAGGTGAAAAGAATATCTGCCTTTAATTTGATTAATTTGAGTTGGTGACAAGTTATTTTAAGATTTGAAATCTATAAAGATTCTACAGTAACTATTAATTTAAGAGGTAGAGGAGTAGGTTGATGTGTTATCTCCTATAGTCATTGAATTCATAGAAGAATAGAGCATAATTCATTTTCCCAGTAGATGATGGAATATCTCATACTACTGACTTAAAAAAAAAAACAATAAACCAAAAGGTTAGCTTTAGAAGTAGGGAAGTACTCTTACTTGTAAGTTTAATTTATAGAGTTTTTTCAATTATATAAAGGTAAGTATGAGATAAGATAGAAATGCAATAATTTATTTAGGTGGAGAGGAATTCCTTTGTGACTTACAGCTATCTTAGGGGTAAAAGAAGTGTTACAGCAGTAACAGTGTAGTTCATATAACAGCCCTATGTGATATGCTCTAAGAATTTTAATAAATGATGTTGTTGTTTTTTGGTGGTGGTGGTGGGGCAGGGGTGTGTGTGTGTGTGTGTGTCCGTGTCCCCGTCCGTCCCCTCACCAGGAGACATTTTTTCCTCTATTGCTATTTAGAGGGGGGAGGAAGAGAGGGAAACATCGATGTGAGAGAGAAGCATCAGTAGGTTGCCCTATACATGCCCAGACCGGATATCATTTGTGCCCAGACTGGGAATCAAACCCACAACCTTTTGGTTACACTGTGACTCTGCTCCAACCAACTGAGCCACACTTCCCAGGGCAATGTGCTCTAAGAATTTGAAAATGAAGAGAAATGGGGAGATTGCTTATGAGAGTACTTGTGGAACAAATTAAGGAGTGGACAACCTTTGAAAGCGAGAGCGAAAGAGTAATTTTTATTTAGTAGGATGGAGTATATAGATTGAAGAATTAGATCTTTATTGGCTAACTTTATTGACAAGGAAAACCTTACTGTAAGTCCTAGTATCCAAAATGATGATACTGGTTATCAGAGAGCTTTCATCAATTAGGTACGTTTATTATCCTTAAATTTTGTGGTAGTCTCTCATGAGAGACACTGTAAAAGAGTTTGTCTAATTATAACTATGATGGTATCATTGGAAGTTAATAAATTTAGAATAGTATATTATAAAGCTAAGGAAAAAAACTTTGAAGTATAAAAGAACAACATTTGGCACTTCAGACCAAATGCAATGGTGTAACAGTAGATGAGAATAACCTATAAAATGGATTTCAATAAAGAGTAGGAATGAAGATAAGGAATAGATGTTTCTATTGAGTCTTACCAATGGAGAAGGACCTATTTTTATTGATTCACTGAACCTTTTTAAAAAATCTTTTATAGTTTGGCTTTTTAGAGAACATAGAATAAAATTATGCAATTTTATTGCTTAGTTTATAACTGTAGTACAGTACATTCTCATTTAGTGTCATTGCTAGGTCTCGGAACTGTGGTGAAACACTGTAAGACAAAACCAATTTTACCATAGGCTAATTTGATATAAACAAGAATTAGGTTTCTGTTGCATCTCATCAACATTATAACAATACAACATTGGACAGAATGAGTTGTTCAGGGACCTGCTATATACTTTAATGATCAGGGTCATGGAAAGACCATTACTAATGTTTCTCTCATTACATGCTGCTTCCTAAGCACATTCAGTTATTGTAAAAACATAGTGCTAAGTTAGGTATGAAGAAAGTTAAAAATCCTTTTAGTTTATGGCAGATTGTCAGCAAGGAAAATACAGCCCCACTCATTTTTATGTATTTATTTCATGAAGTATGTATTATAAGGGTGTAATTGTACTTTTGAACAGAAATGTACTCTTCAAATAGTAAGCTACTTTGGACATTTTAATAGTAGCTATTTATTTTATTTAGGGGCATAATTTGTGTAAATTGTTCGTCTTTAGATTTTTAATTAAATACATCTCTTATTTTCAGAATTTATGCGAATTCCATGTGTGGATGCTGGATTGATTTCACCACTGGTGCAACTACTAAATAGCAAAGACCAGGAAGTGCTGCTTCAAACGGGCAGGGCACTAGGAAACATATGTTACGATAGCCGTAAGTGTTGAAATATCAGTGATACACTTCTGAACTTTTGCTTAAGTATTATGATTTTCAGACTAATTTCCCTTCTAGTGTAACACTGTCTTTTCTAGGCTAAGACACTAACATGGGCCAGTGTGGCAGCTCTGCTTATTTAGCAGAACTGTTGGAGATTTGGGCCACAGTATTCCTAAGTAAAAAGTTACAAGAAATGAGTTCTTTTCCTCTGCTATCACAAATTATATTTTCCGAGGGAAGTAACTCAGTTCCTAAGAAATTGGGCTTTTAATTAAATATATATCTTTTCAATTAGGTTTTATTAAAGTACAATCTCTGAATGAGAATGCTTATGAACACAGCTTTTTAAAGTTTCGAAGTCTCCAAATACATTTTTAATTACTCCCAATTCAATAAAACCATTCATAAAATTCATAATCTTCTGAGAAGCTTGATTGGTGTACTACATTTGCATTGACTTCATTCCTATTTGTCATAATGTCATCGTCATCCTCATCACTTTCTATAACACTGTTCTACTAGGCAGAGAGTTTGGGTATATTACAAAAATTTTACATTTTCTGCTTCTCCTGCCCACATATACAGAAAAATCTTGAGTATATTTAATTTAATTAGGCTTATCTTGATTTTCCATAGATTTGTATTTTTTGAGCCAAAAACATGTATTTATTTAACTGGGATAACATTCATTGCTTATTTTCCCCAATGAGTGTATAATTCACCTTTTAAGTGAGTTACATTTTGTTATAAACACAGAAGACAGAGCCCTTTTATGATAGGCAATGCTTCCAGTAGTAATTTGTGTACGTAAGCCAGATATTACAGACAGTCATAACATATTTATTTATGATAAAAGAAAGGAAAAAAAGATTGAAACTACAGCTTTCAGTTATAACTTGTCTGTAGCAGTGGTGGTAAAGCTAGCCTCATTTACTCTACTTTCCTTCCTTTTTTGGGAACATTAAATATTATGTCTGAAGACACGGATGGTGTAATACGAATTTTAACTTACAGTTTCCAGTCCCCATTACTGCTTATAAATTTACCTACCTGTTTCTTCATTCCAGTTATTTTTATTCTAGGGTATTAACTTTACTTATAAAAGTCTATTGCTTTATGTTTATAACTTTGCATTTTCATATTTATGATTTTTATTAAACATCAAAGCTTATAGTATTAGCATTCAAGAATGAACCATTTATGTATATTTTATATGATTAAGTTTAACAGTATATATTATAAAGTCTGCAGAGCAATCATCAAAGATTGATGGCATGTACCTGGGTAGCACTGATCATTACTGTTTTTATTCCTATCGTTCTGTATTTATTATTAGAATTTAAGGCTATCAAAAGTATTTTTTTAATTCTTGTTCAGTTCAGTTATTCTTGAATTACGCATTGCTTCAACATAGGAAATACCTGCTTTGTGTACTTTTGCCTTGAGTTTCACTTAATATTGATAAAATAGAATAAACACCCATAGTGATTTACTATTTCATCTTGCTCTGATTTTTATGGGCATGTAGTAATTTTATTTCCTGTGTACCAAAGAACCTTGAAGTTAAAGTAATAAATGTCTAGTTAACATGATTATTATTTTGATGAAACTGCAGTCCATTATTATAGTGTTTATCATATCCATTTACTATGTTCTTACAACGTGTACAGTATAAAATTCTTAGGCTATGAAGCTAATTTTTTTATTTCATTTATCTATAAATATTTATAACCACTTCATTCTCATTTAATTCAGTGGGAATTATAATTAAGTGGAAAATTAAGCATAGTGAATACAAGCTATTTTTTATAGTTTTAATCCTTAAGAAAAATAAAGTTATTACTCTTAAAAATGAATTAGTATAAGAAGTGGTTTATTACTGTAAATCATGTGTTCATTGTGTCCTGCTTATGCATATAATTTCCATAAGGTTGTATACTTTCTTACCCTTTCAACTCACTGTGACCTTCTTCCTGATTTCTCTGAATAATTGTAGGAAAAGTACAGCACCTGTATTTGAATTACAGCAATAATATAAAAGTCTGTAAATGTGGTACTGTGTAGTTGATTTGTGAATTTACTTGAAATACATTTCTTATTGTATTTTATGACAATTTAAAGTTTGAGAGAACCCAAAAATTAGATTTCTTTTTTTAAGAAATATTGAATGGCTTCTATTTTAATCAATTAATTAATTAACCTTCTTCCCTCTTGAGAATGTAATGCTTCATTCTTAAAAGGATGATAGAAAACTGGATGACAGCCTTCTAAATACAGGAAATCTTTTTCTTAGAAATAACATGTTTTACAATTTACATTTGTGTTTTATTAAACTTATTCATTGGAATAATCAGTTATTTACATTTTATAAATGTACTCCAAGTGAATAATTTTTTAGTGTAAGTTTATTCAGAATAATACCAGGTTTACAATAGATTGCAAAGCTAATGTATATAGAAAATAACGAATTCACTATTAGAGATAAATATTTGGGCAATGTGTGCACATTTTACAGATTTTCATTTTGACACTTAAACAGCAAAGTGTTTACTAGCATATTTCAGTTAAATCCATGGAAATCTTTTGAAAAGAGTAGGTCAAATTTCAATTTTACTAGCTTTGATAGTGCCTGTTTTAGGAACTCTTCCTAATGGAAGGAAATGGTCTTATGTAATCCTAACATCAGGTAACAGACTGATACAACTGCTAAGTAGGACAGAGCAAGGCTTTGTTGCTGATGAATTTGTTAAATCTCAGTCTGTCTCTTGCATAGAGATATGAAAGAATCACTGGGTAGTAGCATTTAAAATGCCTGGCCTTTTTTCTGCTTTCCCAGAAATCCTTCGAGGCACTTCAGTTATGGATTTCTCTTTAGAAGTGTCCAGATTTCTAATATAAGCAACATTTTAAAACTATTTGCTCTCTAACTTTGGAAGAGTAGCTTATGATAAGTTTGACATGTTTTAGATCAAAGAAGATAAAAATTATGTTTCAATTTGGAAAGAAAACAGCAAACTGTGATGGAGTATTCTACAGAATGTGATTTTAAAAAGAAGTATTAAATTTTATAGGTGAATACTTTTGGCCATTTTAATTACACATTTCTCTCAAAAGTGGTAAAAATGGGGTTTTTGTTCTGCTTATATGGCCATCTTTTATGGAATTGTGTCATTCTTTTAGTGATTAGCTTTGTCTGCATAACTGTGCACATTTAAAATTGCTGATATACTTAAATGTCCGTATATATTGAAGAGCTTCATGTTAAGTTTCTCCGCCCATTATTTATAATTCAAAGTGATAAATTGATGGATGGGAGTTTTCTCTATTTGCATGTTATTGCTTGAGGTTAGGAAGTAGTTGCTATGGGATATACTGGTTAAAATGTATGTACTAGAAGCTAAATGGAAATGATTATGTGAAATTAAATACATGCACCTTTTTCTACACCAGAGAAAGTATAATATACAATTCAGACTAATCATGTTAAATTAAATAAATATACTTCTTTACATAAATAAAATTAATGCTTATTATTACATAATTAGTTCTATGATTGGAAAGATGCCTACTTAAGTTTATATGATATACTAATCATATATGATATAAAGAAACTTGGATTCTTGCTCACTAATGAATAAATAAATATTCAAAATGATAAGATATTCAGGCTTGCCAAACCCAATGTTTATGAAGTGAAATATTGTTTATTTCACTGACTTCAAATATAAATGGAAAAGATGCCCAAATACATGCATGGACTTATTTGTATATTAGTGATTCCAACAACCTTACACTATTTTTATGTAATGCATGAAGAAACCAAAGGGGAAGAGTTGAGGGAGGGAGAATGGGAGGAAGGGGGCAAGGGAAAGTGGTGGGGGGTAGGCAGAGACAAATGTGTTTGAAAAAATAAATTAATTAATTAATTTAAATAAATAAATAAATAAATAATTTAATAAAAAAAGAATCATTGACTATGAATGCTGAAAAAGAATTAGCAATAATCCTATAATATTTTGAAATGTAAGTCGGTTGGTTAAGTATGTATTAACATAATACAGACATGCTTTGAAATTGCTTAAGTAATCAAAGTGTATTTACAGCAGTTACAGTCTACAGGGAACTGTTTATGCCTGGCATTTAAAATAAATGTTTATATCAACGATAAAAATTAGGTTAAGCATTTAATTAATTATATTGAAGGGTTCTCCCGGTCTGTATATTTACCCTACTTTTTGTTAGTATTCAGTTTTAGATTTACCAGCCAATAAGTGTAAAAATAAGATTCTTCAACTCTCATCAATTAATCTGTTGCATTTTATGAATGGGTTTACTATCAGAGTACATGTATATGTAAGAATAAATAAGTATATGAAACTGCTACTTTTAGAAACAGTAATTATTGCTATTATTACATGAAAATACCCCATTATAGAGATGTCCAACACATTGTACATAACTGGAAATAGATGTTGATGTATAACACTATCATAAGCTCTAAAGAAAGGTTCATGCCATTGAGAAGTTTTTAATATGGTGGAGAAAATAAAATGTACAAAGAAACAACTTGTGAACAATTATATGGTACTCACTGAATCAGAATAAAAGTAAATAAGTGATGGGAGTAGTAATTAGAGCCATTTTAAAAAAATTAAGCAAATAAGCCCTTGTTCATTGAAGAAATATAGTTCATTTTAAAATTAATTTAAGCAATGAAATTTTAATGTGTCTCCTGGAAATATAGCAGATTGATAGGATTTCCAGTTCTGCCATTTATTAAATTGTCATTTAATCTTTCTCAGTTTTAGTTTCCTAAGTGGTAAAGTGAACTCGGGTGGATTAAAGAAGTTTTATATATAGATGTACAATATAATTATGAACTGCTGTGCAAAGGAGATATATAGCATTTATGTATGATCATTTGCCTTAGTCTTTGGTTTCTTAAACTACCATTTATTTCTCAGAGTTCTGGACGCTGGGAAATCCAACCATGATCA